AGCTCCTAGTCTGGGGGAACACCGATGAGAAGGCTGAGAGAGAGAAAGCCTTCCCCTGGAGCTGACACCTTGAATTTGGACTTTTAGCCTACTTTACTGTAAGGAAATAAACTTCTCTTCGTTAAAACCATCCACTTGTGGTATTTCTGTTGTAGCAGCACTAGATGACTAAGACAGTCTCCATTACAGCTTTCAGCTTTATGCTATCTAATATACCACTTTGGCCAAGAATGGGAGTATTGATCACCCAGTTTACTAGTACAGTGCCCAAGACATAGCACAGTCTCAATAAAAATGATAGAATGACTAAATGATAGCATTATTTTAATCTACCAGAGATTTAAACACCGAGCATAATATGATTGCCATATCTAGTTTCTTTTCTCTTTTGGTCAGTTTGATAAGTTGTATTCTAGACCCTTGTCCTGTCCAAACACCTCATTCATCTTTCATTTTTATACAGCAATTTATATATATTACATACCCTGACTTTCATTTATCCTGAGGATTTTACACACTGGGTCCCTAGGCATAAACTTGGAACATTTTTAATGTTCCCAATGTCCTTTAGCTTATAAATGCTGAGCCTAATAATATTTAAATTACTGTCATCAGTGTTCAGTGTAAAACATTCACTCCTGTGCTGAAAAGCTTATCCATAACTCTCCCACACAGTGTAACAATGTTGCCTCAAAAAGAGTCCAGTTTATTCCCATATCTACGCATATATACTCATATTCTCTATCACCACTGAAGTTTGTTTTATCTGCTCCTTTGTTCCAGTTCAAAATTGTTTCATGGAGCAGTTAAGAGACCTGTGCCCTTAAAATTAACTCCCAATCTCGCCCCCCCTCTAGGGGGACAACTTCAAAAGCAGTCACTCTCTGGGCCCCACTTCCAATGCTTATTTTTTGAATAGCCTTCCATTAAAATAGACATGATTAACGTATAAAGGCTGATGTTTTTAACATCCCATGCCAGTGTCCTCTCCATCCATTACGGTCTCTGTTCCTTTGAATTTACCCCAGCAGATATTCAAAATATCCTTCCAAAATAGAGTAAAATATTCTCTCCTGCCTGTCTTCATAAATTCAGTCTTTCTTTCTTTTTTTTTTTTTTTTTGTATTCTAAACGGTTTCTTCAAGCTTAGCACTGAAATACACTAAACTGGAAAGACAAACACAAAAATACTTGAGTCTTCACAAGAACAGCAATGCAAACACAGCAAACTCATTAGAACAGCTGCCATGGTGGGGGAGGACAATGGGGTGGGGCATGGAGATAAAACGAATAAATCAAAAAAGTCCACAAGTGGGAGGGGCCTTGTCTGGAGTGCTGATGCTTGTCTGCCCTGCACTGGGAACTGCAACGAACTAAACACTTATCACGTGATGTGCAAGCAATAGTAACAGAAGTAAATCCCCTAAGCAGAGGTAGACCCTCAGGGTGGGTCATTCAAAGCACACTGAAAGGAAATGGCGGAAGGGGTTGTTAATAATGTCAAAAAGAGGGAAAAAAGCACAACAAAAGGTAGGTCGCAGTGATTACAAAGTCAACTGTAGGGGGAGTGGCTTGGGGAGAAGGGGAGTTGGCAGTGAGTGAGAATTTTGATAGACATGGTACAGACAGGATACCATGTGAGACTGGCTGTCAATGACAGCTTGAGGCATCTCACAATGAGAACGAGAGAAGATGAAAAGGAACTCACAGCAGCAAGAGTGTGTGACACACAGTGATTTTGGAAGAAGGTAGGTCTATGAATAAACATAAAGAAACAATCAAAGACCACGAGGGCATAAGTAGAATAAAAATGTTATGAGAAGAGAGCTGAAAGTAATGAGGAGGCAGACCGGCATACTACCCACAGTAGAGATGAGGGCAGTTCTTGCAAAGAGCCAAGCAAGAAGACAGCCGATATGGTAAGGGGCCCCAAGTGGAGATGGCAATTAGATATCCAAAGGGCCAATGTCAACTATCCTTAAGTAGTTCATAAAGTTTATTACCTTCTGTTGTTGTTATTAGTCGTTGTTGCATTGATTCCAACTCATAGTAACCCCATGTGTGCAGAATAGAACTGATCCATAGGGTTTTCAATGGCTGTGACCTTTTGGAAGCAGATCACCAGGCTTGTCTTCCGAGGAGCCTCTGGGTGGGTTCGAACTGCCAACATTTAGGCTAGTAGTCAAGTGCTTAACCATTTGTGCCACCCAGGGACCTTATTACCTTCTGGTTTGCTTAATATAATTTCAAAGGCATCAGCTTCTCCTAGCACAGCTGAGGATTACTCCTGTATCTCCTGTCACTCACCTCGACAGCTCCAATATGGGAGTTTAAGCTCCACTACCCATGGCTCCTTTCCTTTTTCCAACCTGAAGATGACCTCTGGTTTGGGAAGGTCATATCCTGTTAATGAAAAAAGATGTCAGATTTGGGTGTAACAGTCTGGGTTTTAGAGAGGACTTTCAATGAAGCTTTCCATTTGCTCATCAGAAAAGTCAACACCTTTCACTGGGAACGAAGGTGTCCAAAAGAAAAGAACAATCTAGGACAAACCAAGGACAAAACCATTACATATTTAAGATGTCCCAACTGTATTCCACAAGGAGGAAGGAAATCTCTTCAATGAGGCCCATCTGACATTCCCAGGTCAGCTGTGCTCACCCATGGACAGGAAGTGGCTGTAATTCTCCAGCATCACTTCCTGGTACAGGTGTCTCTGGGCAGGGTCCAGCTGCTGCCACTCCTCCCTGCTGAAGTCCACAGTCACGTCCTCGAATGACACTGGTCCCTTAACACCACATACCTGCTCGATATAAATTAGTCAGCATTGGTGGAACGGGAAGTTACATACAGGGAGTTGTTTTTAATAACTTTTCGCCATGATGCGTCACATAGTTGTTGTTAGCTGACGTTGAGTCACCCCTGACTCATGGCAACCCCACGCACAATGGAACAAAACACTGCCCAGTCCTGTGACATCCCCATGATCAGTTGGGGATCAGACCATTGAGAGCCACAGGATTTTCAGTGGCTGATTTTTGAAAGTAGATCACCAGGCCTTTCTTCCTAGTCCATCTTGGTCTGGAAGCTCTGCTGAAGCCTGTTCAGCATCATAGCAACATGCAAGCCTCCAGTAACAGACAGGTGGTGGCTGCACATGAGGTTCATTGGCCAGGAATTGAACCCAGGTCTCCCACATAGAAGGTGAGAATACTACCACTGAGCAATGACTGCCCTGTGCATGACATAGAGTTCCCACTAAATATTTGTTTCACATTAAACTTTTGGGGATTAAAAAAAAACAGAGATATCCTGCCATTCATTGTATACTACGTTCATTTGGTCATTCTTTTGTCAAAAACAAGGATTGAAATAAGTTCTAAGTCCTCTAGCTAACTTAGATATAACCTGCATTAGGTTTATTAAGCAACTACATGCCAGACATTATGCTGAGTCCTGGGGACTCAACATAGAATTATATAAGCTTTGACCCTCCCAGCAACTTGGAGACTTGGAAAGGAAGTAAATATACAAGATCAACTATGGGTAGAAATACATGCAGAGCAGACCACACTGGGGGTCCAAATTAGGCAAGAGCAAATTCTACTTGGGAGTGGAAAGTTACGCTCCTGAGAGCTGGTGAAACTTAAACGGGAAGTGAGAAGTTTGAAATTCCAAATGTTAATATCTGTTGGCAAGTTGGAAACACTATCCCCAGGTATTTTTAATCCTCTTTTAAATAAGAAAAACCACGCGGCCCTTAAAAGTCTGTTCTTAACTCTACTCCCTATGACTCTACGAACTATGAAGAAAGGGAATTTTCTGCACCTTATCAGGATAGAAGAGAAATGAGCCAATCCCAAAGACCAAGTAGGAGGCGTCTTGAGAGGATCAGCTAAGAATCTGCAATGATCCAAAGGTAAATGAAGGAGCTGAGCCTATGCCAATCAGGGGAGGGGCTATCATTTCCCTGCCTGTGGCTGGGGCTTCCCACTCAGACCAGGCACCTAGCTTCCTGCAGACAGCCAACCCCTCATCCCAACCCACCCTCATTCATCAGCTGGTTCATGGTTTCCTCTATAACACACGTGGCCTCTGGGTGTGTGGACATAGGCCACATGTGGATCACTCTCAGCAGGAGGATCAAGATGATTTCAGAGGTATGGAGTCCATGTGTCTGCCCTCCAGTTCTGGAAAACTGTCCCTAGGTCTGCTCCTGCTTACCTTATATGATTTGTCCTGCTCCTCCGGACCTAGGACCTGGGGCCTCCAGGGCAAATTCATATCAATAGGCATGGCCCCGCTGGGCTTCAACTTCTGGTCTCTCTTGCTGACCACTCCACTTCTCCCAGGATCCTGAAGCTGGGTGGGCATCTGGAGGCTCCAACCAGAGCTGCTGGGGAGAGGTGGGCTGAGCTGAGAAGGGAGATCCTGGAACCTCAATGATGCAGCCAGATCCAAGGGCTCTGCAGAGATGCCAAGACACCCTGGAAAGGCAACGACCACATGATCAATCATTCAACATTTGTTCCACACATATTTCCTGGAGGTTCTTAGGTCAAGGCCATTGTGCTAGACACTACAGATGTGGAACAGACAAAGGTCAGAAAAATCCAACTCTAGTTATATCAGTCAGGATAAAAGAAAAAGACCATGAGATTCGGACTAAACTTAATGAAGGTTTAATCACAGCTCTGCCACTTCTAGCTATGAGAATATGCAGATACTAGTTCCTAGGTAAGGAGCCCTGCTGGTGCAGTGGTTAAGCATTCAGTTGCTAACAGAAAGGTTGGCAGTTCAAACTTACCAGCCACACTGCGGAAGAAAGATGTGACAGTCTGCTTCCGTAAAGATTATGGCCTTGGAAACCCTATGGGACAGTTCTACCCTGTCACACAGGGTCACTATGAGTCAGAATCGACTGAACGGCAATGGGTAGTCCCCTGGGTGGCACAAATGGTTAAGCACTTGACTACCATCTGGAGGTTGGTGGTTCAACCCAACCAGAGGTGCCTTGGAAGCCAGGCCTGGTGATCTGCTTCAGAAAGGTCACAGCCTTGAAAAACCTATGGAACACAGCTCTATTCTGCACACATGGCGTCATCATGAGTCAGAATCTACTCCACCACAACAAACAACAATGACCAATTAAGGTGCTTAAACAGATGGCTTTGTCTCATCTTTCTTTTCACACATCTTTCTCTCTGGAAAGCGAATTGGATACAGGATAGGGATCAGGGTGGAGGAGCTCAGACTTGGGATAAAACTTGATGATATAGAGGCATCCTTTTTATTTTTACATTTTCAACACCACCCTATTGACAGGAGGAGTCTCTATGTAACAATGGCATGGTGGAAGCAGAACTCCTCATCTAACTTCACGAGGGGGAGAAGAGAGAATCAAGATCAACATCAGCCCAAGGCTGATTCCTACAAGGCAGAAGTCAGATATGCCTCCTCTCTGCACCCTTTTTACCAATTCTGACACCAATCATCCCTCCCATGGTGCTCTCTACTTCTCTGCTGAATTCAATGATTCATTGCAATGGCCACACAGAACTCACAGACAATACTGACAATTATGAGGTTTATTAGGGAAATAACAGCTTACAGTTCAGATTCAGGAACGCTCAGGATACAGTTCTTCCATCAAAACAGCCTCTTCTCAGCTGTGCCCACAGGCACGTCTCTCTCTGACCCTTGGCCTCTTGGCCCTCAGCCCCTCAGCCTGGCCTCTGCCCTGCTTGGGCAAGTGTTACAAAGCTCTTTTAGCTCTGCAGATAGCACCCAACTCTGCCAGTAAGGCTCGGCCTGAAGATGCTAAGCTCTAGCTCTGTGGGTCAGCAAACATGGCTCTACCAAGTGCCTGGAGGCACCATACTCTGCCAGCAAGCCTCCTGATCAAAGGCACTCAGCTTTCTTGCTCTGTGGGCCAGGAAGCCTACTGCGCCATCTCCTGCCAGTATTCCGCTGGTCTCCTGCCTCTGCTGCCATCGTTCCTCTGATGCCGCTTCTCACCGTCTTCAGTGTTACAGCCCTCTCTCAGTTTCCTGGTTCCAGGAGCTTCTCAGCGTAGGGATCCCAGGTCTAAAGGATGTACCCCACTCCTGGCTCTTCTTTCTTTCTTCTTCTGGGATGGCTCATTTTAAGTCTAGTGGGATGGCAAAACTGACCAATCTCCTTGGTGGGCCACAATTAACTTATCTGCATAAAAACACCATTCACCCTACAGCCTCTGTTACTCAGACCTCCCATTACTCACCCTACAAACCACCCAAGTGATTGGGTGGGAGTTACAAGACCATGGCAAGAAAGGCCATATAAAAGCGATCTACCACACTGCAGGAGTGGACCACAGGATTGCCAGGCGATTCCAAAATACTGTCCCCCAGTCACTGACATGGCCTATGCTCCTGAAATCATTAACCTACCCTGACTGCCACTTACTATGTCCCAGGGAGTGCCATTAGCCAGTTTCCACAGGACGCCAAATCATCAAATAATGTACTGCAATTGGAAACCCATCATCGATCTCAACTGCCAATCACTGACCCTTATCATATCCCACATAGACCCAGAGAGTAGCCAACTGAAGGACTGCAACACTTCCTCATCATCCAGAAAGCAGTGCAGTCAAACTCACAAACCTACATCACTGATGCCCTAGGCCTCTAGGTGGAGTCACCTGGTTCCCATATGCTCAAAATTACGACTACCTTCAGCACCCCACTGTACTGACTCCTATAGATCACCAATCATTGGCCCTCTTGAGTGTGTTACAATGTGAACCTCAAAGTCCTCCAATCCCCAAAGCTCCCTGCTCCCAGTCAATCACTGACTCCGATAGTCCACCAAGCAGTTAATCTCTTCCCCAAATGTCCTCCACTACCATCCACTAAGGCCCTCTTAAGACGCACAGTGTCCTTAAGTGGGCACATTCCACTGGCCAACAATATAAAACCTGATGTTAAAGAACACTTGGAATTTAACAATCACAAAAATACTTATTTACACATATGAAACACACAAGGGGAGTTTGAAGATTAATGAGCCAATCATCCAACCTAATTTTAAAAACACCACTCATCATATAGCCCCTCAGACCTCTTATTACCCCACAAACCATGCCATCACCTACCGTGCAGACTCCCATAACTCACCCCACAGATGCCCCAATCACTCACTGCACTGACACCCCTACTCATGCCACAGATGCTCCAATCACTCACCTCACAGACACCCTCAGTACTCACCTACAGACCCCCATCACACCCTACAGATGTCCCCACCACTCACCCCATAGACCATGCCATCATTCATCCCACAGAGACCCCACTCACCCCACCAACACTCCACTCACCCCACAGACCTCATCATTCACCCCACAGATGCCCCAAGATGCTCTCATCACTCACCCCATAGACCCCCATCACTCACCCCACAGACACCTATCACTCACCCTTCAGATGCACCCACTTACCCCACAGACCCCCCCATGGATGCCCTCATTACTCAGCCACAGACCTCCATCACTCACCCCACAGACTTCCTATCATTCACCCTACAGACATCCCACAGATGTCCTCATCACTCACCCCAGGCCCCCATCACTCACCCCACAGAACCTCCGTTTAGCCCACAGACACTCTCACTCACCCCACACACCCTCATCGCTCACCCTATAGACAGACCCTCACTCTTCCCAAAGACGCTCCACTCATCCCAGACTTCCCATCGTTCAACCAAAACACCGCCATCAATCACCTCACAGACCTCGCATCACTTACCCCGAAGACCCACCATCACTCATTCACTCACCTCACAGACACCCCACGGAACTCTCATCACTCACCTCAAGCCGACCTCCCATAACTGACTGCACAGAACCGCTATCACGACCACCCCAAATCACTTCAGCATTCCTCAAGCGCCATATAGGTTAGAAACTGGTGGCCACATTAGTGAAATTGTCGCTACGGGCCACTCCGGTTTGGGTCATTTCCTGTCAAAGCTTCTTTGCCGGTGCGGACATAAGCGCATGCTCACTAGCATTTTTGAAGCTATTGTGGCCAATAGGTATCACTACGCATTACGGAGTTTCTCTATTCTCGTTCACTTTTCCTCAGCGGCTTTGTCAGGAGAACGACATGGCCGCACCCGGCTAGAACTACCTACTGGAGGACGCCATCTTCAAATAACTTTTATTCCGTACAACTGAGGAAGGCGCATCCAGTCTCAGAGAACAAAGCCTGTGGGCTGTCCCACGTTGGCAGGGGACCTATTCGATACTTGTATATATACCTTCCTCGGAGAAACTGACACTGCATATCTGAAAAATATCCTTTTTCTATATTTTCACGCTTATTTAAGGGCTGCCTATTTTCTTAACTGCTGAAGAACACACTGTATCTGATAGTTTTTGAAATTTTTATATTTTTAAGAAATTTTATCTTTGCAGTCTTTGCACAGTTGCTCTCTATACCTGAATGAACTCACTGATGAGGTTATCTATTAAGAGACTACCAGAAGAGAGAATTTGGGGCTCTTAGGACACTTCATTTAAAGTGAGGAGAAAAAAGAATGAGGTTAAAGGGGAAAACACAATAAGTACAACGGCAGCCAGCCCAAGTGAGCAGAATTTTCAGGAAGAGGTTTTTCAATCATTAGATAGGTAGAACGTATCTTAGAAGGTGGCCAATAGTGACCATAATGTTAACAATTGGGCCAGTTGTGGGGAAATGGGGAGGGAGGGGTGGAGTTAGGATCTGAAGTAAATCTCACTGTACATGAATGGTTGAAAGTATTTCATGGTCACAGGAAGGACAAGAGTTGGAAGGGAATAGGAAGGAGCATAAGTATCATACAAACGTTTAAATAAGTCAGGTCCACAAATTCCTGATTGTGCATGGAAAAGAATTTAAGACAATCTAAGGGAGAATGGGAGCCCTGGTGGCACAGTGGTTAAGTGCTCAGCTGCTAACTGAAAGGTCAGCAGTCTGAACCTACCAGCGGATGCTAGGTCTGTGGGGTGATTCTTCTTGTATTTTAATCTCCAACATTTGCCCCCATTAACTGAGCCTAGAGGGAAGCCAGCTAATACAGGTGTCTGGGAAATGTGGCCTGCAGGGTTAAGTCCCAATTGTACAGAGCAGGGAAGGGGAGGAGCAAGGTAAGAGTTTGACAGCACATTGGCCAAGAACTGGTCTGTCCATCCATCCATCCATCCATCCATCCATCCATCCATCCATCCTCTCCTATGGGTACAGTTCAGGAGACCAGGCATGAAACTGTACAGAGGTTGTTTCTGAATGGGCCAAGTCAGCAAGTGCCTCCCTTTTGAACAGAGGTAGGCTTTGGTGAGAGAGATGCCTGGGAGACAGGGACTCTGTCTCTCTGGGCTTCTATGTCTAGCCTCTCACCATGTCCAGAGGAGAAAGAATGGCTAGTCTGGTCTCTCAGTCATGCTCCTCTGTGCCCTTCTAATCCTGTGGGAAAACCTAAAGGGATGTTCCCTCCCTGGAGAAGACAGACCAAGCCACTCTCACCTTGGGAATTGAGGACTCAGCTACTGGGTCATTTGAGGAAGGGACTGCTCTCCTAGTGTAGTCGATCCAGGTGAGTCCATAGGTGAGTGCAAAGCTCACCCTCATGAAGATTCCCTTGAGCAGGATAAGGACCAAGAGCTGCAGAACACCTTGTTCTACAAAGTTAATAGAGTCATCTGAGGTTGCAATGATAGGGGTGTCCTGGCCCAGCGCTCACAGGAGACATTGAGCTGAACGGTTATCTCTGTGGTCTCACCAGTCCTCAGGAAGGTCACTTGGCCAGTGACATTGGTGCCATGGTCCCCAGGCCATAGGATGATGGTGACCTCTGAGAAGTGAGGACTAAGAGAAATGAGGGTGCCCCATATCCAGGAGAAGATGAGGGACTTCCCTCCTTTACAGGTGGCTGGCATGGAGCAGGTCAGGCTCCCAGGGCAGCCAGACTCCAGAGTTGCTGGGACTTGGATGTCAGGTGTCTGAGTGAGAGCTGGAGAAAAGAGAGAGAGATAGACCCAGGCCCCAGGGAAGGGGCGCCACAGTGTGAACCCAGAAGTGGCCCCAGAGACGACTCCTCCTTTCACAGCCCCTCCCTACACACCAACCCTCACGCTGACCCCCACCCAAAGATTGGGATGGGGACAGCGACGCTTGCTCACCTGTCCCATTCAGAGACAATGTCTTATACGTGAAACTGAATTTTATCACAGACCCTCTCTCCAGCTGAAATAAGAATCACCTGCCGTCCCTTTTTCTGGTGTCTCTGATGCTCAGGGAGTAGTTGTTGGTCCGGGGGCCTTTGAGGAGGAGGAACTGGCCTTAAGTCCTCTCTTGCAGCTTCTGGTTGGGTTTGTTTGTGGCCATGGGAGGATCATAGTGTATTCTGAACCCTTTCAGGAACCCAAAGACATAGAGGGGGTCCAAGTGATTCCATCCATTCCTGGGGTAGGAGAAGGTGCAAGGCAGGAGGACACACAGACCCTCCTGCATTGTCACCAACGCTGGTATCTGTAGCACATACCCTGGGTGGTCCTCCAAGAACCCTAGGACAAGACCAGCATTTAGCTCTTGTCTTAGTTATCTAGAGCTGCTATAACAGAAATACCACAAGTGGGTGGCTTTAACAAAGAGAAATTTATTTTCTCACAGTGTAGTAGGCTAAAAGTCCAAATTCAGGGCGTCAGTTCCAGGGGAAGGCTTTCTCTCTCTGTCAGCTCTGGAGGAAAGACCTTCTCATCAATCTGCCCCTGGACTAGGAACTTCTCCATACAGGAACCCCAGGTCCAAAGGACTTGCTCTGCTCCCCGTGCTGCTTTCTTGGTGGTAGGAGGTCCCCCGTCTCTCTGCTCGCTTCTCTTTTATATCTCAAAAGAGATTGGCTCAAGACACAATCCAATCTTGTAGATTGAGTCCTGCCTCATTAACATAACTGCCGCCTATCCCACCTCATTAACATCATAGAGGTAGGGTTTACAACACATAGGAAAATCACATCAGATGACAAAATGGACAATCACACAGTACTGGGAATCATGGCCTAGCCAAACTGATACACATATTTTTGGGGGACACAATTCAATCCATGACAGCTCTGTAGCTCCAGCTGCTCCCAACCCCCTTTCTATCCCAGGCCACTAACCTCCCCCAGCAGGGGCAGCAGCAGCAGCAACAGAATCTCTGAGGCTGGAGGGGTTCCCTGGGGCCCCCTAACACCATCTGATTAGCTCTTCCTAGCAGACATCTGGCATCTGTCTCTGATTTTCTGCCTCAAACCCCTGCCTCTATCAGGAACAACCAAACCACTGTTGGGGAAGTGAGCCCAATCACCCCAGAGTCAGAAACAACCAACAGGGGGTCCTTCCTGCTCCCCCAACTCAGACTGCAACTCCTGCCCCTGGAGACCACCCTCTCCACCTTCCCTCAGGAGAGCTTTGGAATTCAATTCTGGCCATTCTCCCACCATGCAGGGAAGGGGAGCTGGGAGCTGGGACCCACCTGGGACTCAATCCACCCACCCCCATGCTAACCCTCAGCCCAAGTGTGACGGTTAATTTTACAGTAGAACTGCTTCACAGGGTATTCAAGACTGTGACCTTTCAGAATAAGATCACCAGGCCCGTCTTCCAAGGAGCCTCTGGATGGGTTCAAACCACCAACCATTTGGTTAGTAGCCAAGTGCTTATCCGTTCACACCACCTAGAGACTCTATGAAGTAATCAGTTGCCATCGAGTCAATTCTGACTCATGCTGACACCATGTGTTGAAGAGTACACTGCACTCCGTAAGGTTTCACAGCTGTGACCTTTCAGAAGCAGATCATTGGGCCTTTCTGGGTGGTTTTGAACTGCCAACCATTCAGTTAGTCTCCAAGTGCTTAACCATTTGTGCTACCCAGGAACTCCTATGAAGTACAGGTAGTCCCAACTTAGCGACGTATTCAAGTTACACAAATTTCACTTACAGCAGTCCTTTGTTTTTTGATATATTTTATCGTTAGTAATATGTACTACATACAATGTTGCGGCAGTGAGTAATTTGTTGATGTTATCATTCTCGGATGTAATGTCCAATCTCCAAAGACAAATAAAGATCAGATTTATAAAGATACTGATGACAAAAGGCAATAATAATGAAAACTAAAAAAAAAATTGAGATATTTGACTTACATCAGAACCAACTTATGATGGAGTAGTTGTCGGAACAAAACCCCATTGTAAGTCGGGAACTACCTGTAGTTACATGTAATTAAATCAGTTGGTCTTATGTAAAACAGGTGACCTCTCCCCATAATGTGGATGGGCCTCATCCAGTCAGTTAAATGTCTTAAGAGTAAAAAGGGTATATTCTGCTTTGAAACTATAAATAAACATTTTGCCAGAACTCCATCACTCTTCACTCTTCCTGTCACCTGACCTATGGATTTTGGCACACAAGACTACTGTAATCTCCAGCCTGTTGCCTGACTCACAGATTTTGGACTTGCCAGCCCCCGCAGTCATGTGAGCCAATTTCTTAAAATCTATCTATATACCTATCTACCTACATCTTTCTCACTATATCTATCTATCTAAATCAGTTGCTATCAAGTTGATTCCGACTCATGGCAACTCCATGTGTTTCAGAGTAGAACTGTGCATAAGGTTTTCAATGGCTGTGACCTTTTGGAAGTAGATCTCCAGGTCTTTCTTCCCAGGTGCCTCTGGGTGGATTCTAACTGCCAACCTTTTGGTTAGTAGCTGAGTGTTTAACAGTTTGCACCACTATACGCCTATCACTGTTTCTGTTTCTCTAGAGAACCCTGACTAAGACACTGGGCCTGGCTCTGAAGTCAGGCTGCCTGGTTTCTTCACCTCCCAGCTCTGCCCCTTTCTAGTTTTTTGTGGCAAGGGATTTAACCTCTCTGTGCATTCATTTCATAATTCTTACCTCGGGGACTCATCGGCAGATT